CGGCGGATCGAATCGGGCTTTGTACGCAGACAGTGGATTGAGTCAATGCAAAACTCCACTGTGCGTGGAGTTACCTTCATCTTTGTACCAGGGTATGTCGGTGTTGTTGGCAATGAAAAAGCGATTAGCCGGCTCTGCCTCGGTTACAGAGGGATGGCCCATTGATCATGCCGACATTGTTATCGCCATTAGAGAAGTAGAACGATAGGACGTTTTTAAGATCAGCACATCCACGTCTTTGCTAAGAGTGCAAGAATTTGGAATAAAGATCAGAACATCCACGTCTTTGCTAAGAGTGCAAGAATTTGGAATAAAGATCAGCACATCCACGTCTTTGCTAAGAGTGCAAGAATTTGGAATAAAGATCAGCACATCCACGTCTTTGCTAAGAGTGCAAGAATTTGGAATAAAGATCAGCACATCCACATCTTTGCTAAGAGTGCAAGAATTTGGAATAAAGATCAGCACATCCAGGATCGAGAAGTCTTATTAACAAAAATAGGACTAGGACTATCAACCGCGGGAAGCTGATGTATATGTTTAAGGGGTAATCTGAGCACCTATGGACGTGTCCGGGTGTTGTGAAGATAGCCTAAATCATAACTCATAGCTCACTGTCCCTTGGGGGGGAAAAAAACGTTCACACAGACTGCAGTCTCAGAAAATCCAATAGTAAACACATCATTAAATGCATAAGAAAGCCATCAGACGTGAAAACACAGTCAGGCACTGGAAGTGCAGTTCATCGTCGATGGAATCAGCAGTCACAACAGATCAGTAGCTGCACATGCCAATCATCACATAAGGCCGGACTAGTTGTGTGGGAGCAGGCTACTCGCCAGGAATCTGCAGCTCACAACACACCACATTGGGCACAGTCGAAAAGCATTCCAACTGAAATCCGCAGCAGACGGTGTCCCGCCATGCATTCAGCTAAGTACCTGGGTGACGAAACTATATCTTCTCAGTCTACAAATAGAGGAAAATGCAATGGCTCACTATTGTCAGAAGCAAACACTTGCCACGACTGAAAACAGCAAACTTGTCAATCTACTATAGTGACCAGAAGCATGCAGATGCTCTCCAATTGTGCCGCATTCTTAGTAATAATTGTGTTCATTATTCATTTTATGTACAACCCAGTCATCTGTGTTTCTTTACTGTGAGTGATACCGTTTTCATTTCTTTCTTTCAAGTGTTAATTTAGTTGTTTGTTTATTTTATTCTGTGTACATTAAAAACAGTAAAATACAACACTTCACATCGGACCTAAGGTGAAATGCAACCCGGATCGTAGGCTCAGAAAGTCAACGATCTGAGAAATGTATTAGTTACAAGCAAAAACGTTATGATGAGCTAATGGGTTTAATGTAAGAGATAAAGTAGAGCCACTTGGGTGAAAAACTTTGTCTTTTTTCTTAAAGAAAATAACCAACATCACCATAACCAACGATGAAAACTGTATCAACATTCAAAGAAATTGTTTCAAATGTTGCTTCCCTAGAGACTTCCTCTGTTGCTGTGCATGAAGATGGATGTCAAACCTCATCAAAACACCATAAAGAAACACAGGACAAACACAAATCTGGTCATGACTAAATGAAGAAAGGGTGTGTAGGTAGGTAGGTAGTTGTACCGCACCAGGACATCACACAAGTGATAAACACCCGGTGACACAAAGTGCCACCACGCGGATGAAGATCACCCGTGGTTAGGTTCCAAAAACCCCTTTCAGTCGTCAAACCATATATATGGCTAGGACATATCTATGCCCCAGCTATATTCAGGGCCCCCAGTAGAAGCCAGGGTGGGGCTTCAAATTTAAAAAAATGTCTAAATTTTCTATGAACATAGAGGGTGTGTAACAGAATGCAGGTTTTTAAAGAAACTTCATGTCTAATGTGATCAGCTTTGGTAACTCCTGCAGCCTTTCTCGTGCATCTCATTTCCAAGGTTACTCATTTTTACTTATCAATTGTTTCAGCCATTGCTGGCACTAGTGGCATGTAAAAGGTCCCTCTTCCCCGTCCTTGAGCGTACTGGGTATATAGGGCTAGACCTATGTTTCAATAGACCAATCGGCACTTGGTGGGTGACGTGGTCAGCATCACGTCGGCCGCCTTGACTTCCCAGGACTGCGCTTGGTACCCACTCAAGGCTAGGTCAACCTGGGAGTCAAGGTCATTTTTTTTTATCCGGCTCCGACTGGACGCAAACCCACGACCTTCTGATCCATAGTCGGGCGTCTAGCCACGGTGACTCCCACTAGTGGGATGTAGATAAATATGCTTTGTATTAGCTTTTTCATATTTTTTAAAAAATTATTTTGGTGCTTGTTGGAACTGTCAATGTCAGAGAAGAACAGATTAGGGGGGAGGAGGGGGAGCTGTTGTTTCAATACTTTGTTTCACTGCTTTACAAGTTAATATTCTTTATCCATTCGCCCAAAAAGATAATTTAGAAATAAATAAACAAACAAGACCTTAAGATAAACAAATGAATTCAAGTATTTGGGAGAAATTTTCACATCCAATAGAAAACTGGACAGAGAAGTTAGCTCGAGATGTGCCCAAGCTAATCAAGTAATGCGGCAACTATCTCCCCTGTTGACACCCAAGCTGAAACCCCCGAGTACTAAAATGAATCTTATCATAACTATTGTTTGACCAACATTATGCTATCAGTGCCAAACGTGGACACTTAAATCCTTCAATGAACGTAAAATTGTGACAACAGAGATGAAATGCTTTAGAAAAGCTGCAGGAGTTTCAAGGTAAGACAAAATACGAAATCATGAAATCAGACAAATGCTAGGAATAAAGCCAGTCTTACAGGTCATCAAAGAACAACAAATGAAGTGGTCTGGACACCTAACGAGAATGTCCTGGTACTATCTACCACAACAAGCCACACTAAAACGTTACAACGGGTATAGAGCAAGCGGAAGACCTCAGAAAATATGGAGTGATAGCATTAAGAACTGCCTTACAGAAATGAACATCAATCAGAATAGTGTAACGAATGTTACATCTCCCCCCGCCACTTCGCTGAGGTACAAGGTGGAAGAGAAGAGGAAGAAGATCCATTTGTTATTCTTTAGTGAACTGTTGCTCTCAGATATTGTATCTTTGACAAATTAAAATTTGCATCTGATGGTGTTTACAATAATAAAACCGTGAGACACTGGCACTGAAAAAGTTTAAAGTAACACTTTGGAAACAGAGTCCATCCATGAACAGGGTACAAGGAGTTAAGAAAGTGGTTACTGTTAGCACTGTTTACAATGGTGGTCCTGGCCCAGTCATCAACAGTCTGTCACAGAAGTGACGTCATCTTGAAACTTCCGGCTGCACTCCTAAACTAACGGGCATGCGTCAACATGGACTTTTATTCACTGAGGACGAAAGAATGAATAAAGAAATCCAACAAAGATGCAATAAAGTAGATCAAGTTTTAGGCCATACGACACCAATTTTGAAATGCAAGAGTGTGAATATGAACGCTAAAAAAATCACTGTTAAACACAATATTCGTTTCAACGCTCTGCTATTAATGTCAAACATGGACACTGTCTTTAGAAGACAAAAGGAAAATAGTCACGAAAAAAATGAAATGTTTACCAACTATGCTAGGTATAACGAAGAAAGATTGACTTAGGAATGATGACATCAAGAGGATAATCAGCACAGAACTAATACTTAACTTTATAGGTAGACAACAATTCGAATGGTTTGGTCATGTAACAAGATTGGCACCAAACAGGGCACATACAGAGAGCAGTGTTATACAGATACAGTGGTAACAGACCCAGAGGTCGACCACGCAGAACATGGACCACAGAAATATCAGAGACACTATTTATAAAGCGAACAGAAGCGCCTGTTCTAGAGATCTCTTCCTCCCTTGAGGCCGAGAGGCATTTCAGGGGTAGAGAAAAGAAGAAGAAGAATGTCTATAGGTTTCACCCCTTCACGTATGAAAGAACACAGGATAGAATGTTGCTCCTCTTTGGTGCATGCCAAAAGTGATGACCATTTTTAAACTGTTGTTATGACGTCACCACATGTGTCTGCACCCTGATGTCATGTGCTTAACACTCCTGACATCCTTAACCAAAAAAATCACAGGTTACACGACAATGGCGTGGTTATTGCAATTTCTGTCACATCTTTAATGTTTTCATTTGTTGTTGCTGTAATCGATCCAGGTATGCATAAGCTTTCGCCCTTTGACCCAATGCCATGTGGTGGAATTTGCATGTTTTTACAAGCTGTTCTTTTTCTCTGTACAAGGTATTCAACCTGTCTGGTCTCGGAGGGAGTAGCATTACGGTTTTAATTTAAAGCACACCTCCAATGTATAAACCAGCAAACAGTCAGGGCAGTTGTTCTAATCTATCTCAACTGTGGGTGGTTGCCCAGGTGTCTCATGAGCACTGGGGTCCCTTGCTAATCTGCAGAAGTTATATCAGAATATAACCCAGACTTCTTTTCCCCACCTCAGCACTGAAATCTCACAAAATGTTTGTGTTGAATCTAAATCATTCAGGGTAGTTTCAACATGTGTGCCTGTGTAGGGGTAAAACCACAGCAAAAACATTGGGTGAGGGAGTGGGTTGTTTCAAAGAGGCTTAAGCCTTGTTTTAAGTGTACAATAACAATAAAATAACGATAATGTGCTCGATATCAAATTAAAAAAAAAATATGAGTACATTTGAAATAATATTAAATGCATAAATAATACTTTAAAAAAATTACATAGTGCAACAGAAATTGTATATTCCACGCTTCCCTCCCCTCCATTCCCGTTTTTTTTTTGAATTTTCTGGCATGCTTTAACAGTCAAGTAGCATTTTATGTTGAACAGTTTGTTGTTTAAATTTCAAAGATCATGTTAAACTGCTGAAACATTTGTGCTAATTAATATGTACATTACTTTTTTTTTCTCAAAAATGTCAAACCATTAATTTGTTTATCAACTGATGTTAATTAATTATTTATTTACAGGACTTGATAAACAAGAGTTAGTCCATCTTTATCAGAAACAAAACGAGGAAAAATTTCCCGATTATGCAGCTTCCACAGCCCTTCTTTCTCCAGCTGAGCAAAGTAAACTTCCAGACCCTCCTTGTACCACTGGGCGTTGGCAGCTATAGCTCTGAACACGGACACGATGTAACCGCCTGATAGGATCAATGTACAAATAGAAAAACAAATGTACATGTTTAGGTTTATGTAACTACAACTTAGGCATCTAAAATTGTTATCAACTAACTTCTATTACATGGGTCTTTAACCCTTTTGCTCCATAGGTTAGGTTAGTTGCGAATCCTTTACAGGACGTTGTAGAACCAGCCCCAGCAGCCCCTGGCTGTTGTGTGGTTTCTCTAGGCAAATTACGTCCAGTAGTTTGCCATTGCTTCCTGGACGGTCGGCCCCCTGACACCACTGTCGAAACTAATGCAAGGCGCATGGCCCGCAGCTGAGATCGAACCCGGCACCCCGGCATTACAGAGCGTTTGCATCGACTTAGCCACAGAGCCGACTTTTGCTCCATAAGAAGCTTTAAAAAAGGTATCTTTAAACAAATCATCTTCTTCTTCCTCTTGTTCGCGTTCACCAGCTGTAAACTCCGGCAGAGAGATTTGGTTTTTCGTCCCTCTCTGGACTATAGTCTTATTCCGAACCTGGGTGTTGCGTGCACATCCGTTTTACTGATTTGACCTATCTGTACGCAGATTTTTGATTCATTGCCTTGCAGGCAGATGCACAGTGACTTTGAAGGAAGCTCCCAGTTAGTCGAATCTTACAACAAGCTTTTGGGTAGGCAGTGGGTCTGTTCTTGTTTTCCCCTAAATGGGGCCAAGGAATCCACATGGGGACTTTAAACAAATGCATACTTTTAATTATCTGCAACACTACCCTAAGAAACTCGAGGACAAGAAAAAGAAACAAAAGAAATCTGAAATCTTGGTCAGATTTTTAAAAACATCCAGAGGATTGAACCCCCAGACCACCAATCAGACAGGCAAACGTGTAGTTCGCAGCTACACTGTGACTGTCAAATCACTAAAATAATTCATCTTTATTGTTTTAACCACTTTTGCATTTTTAAGGGAGGGAAATAATCATTAAATGCAAACAGAGCAAAGAATTAACTTCTTTACCTCCCTTTGACAATGTAACGTGGCATTATGAGATTATTATGACCTAAGGATAAGGTCGAAATTGAAAAAAAAAATTATTTTATTATTATCTTTTTTTTTATGTGGCATATATAGTCATACCTAACATATACTATGCAGTTATAGTCAGTACTAAAAGCTGTTATGTAGAAACTGTGGCCACTGCCCAAATATTTCATGTCATCAAAAATCTCTTTATGCCAGAAAAACCTGTTTCTCTTGGCAACAGGGCCTAAGACACAATATGACCTCCTTAACAGGATCCTGGTAATCATTGAAACAATGAAATCGTGCTCAACACATCTTGGCGTTTTCCCCCCAGTATTGGATAGTTTATACTTGTCAGTCACTTTTGATTATTCACTATTGCACAGATTATATATGGCATGCTGCAGGAGATCGCAGATTATGGAGAGGCATGATCGCCCACGCCAGTCAGCAAGGCACCTGATGATGATGACGATGATATATTAATCTTAGCAGAGTGTATGAGCATAGATGGTGAAGTGTGATTTATTTTACAAATACTTCTGAAATAACTGTGAAAATCATAGTGTGTAAATTATCTTTAAGATTACGCAATGTCATATGGGATACCATCTGGGATATTCTCCCTTATCATATGTTAACACCTTGTATGTGAACTTTTGTTCTTGTTATGAACTGTTTAATTGATCCTGTAGTTCACTTCCACAATAATGTCATAAGAAAACTGCAGTGTGTCTCAGGGACATCATTTCAATAGTATATGCATGTTATGTTATCATTACCTTTGCCACAGTACATTGAGCAATTCTCATTGGTGCTTAGTCTTCCCATGCAATAGCCATCCCTAATTCGCCTCTACTGACTAGGCTCGCAAGAAGTTGGTTATAATGCCTCCTATGGTTTCTTTTTCAATAGAAGGGAAAGTGCTTAACCAAGTCAATGAAATCAAGCATTTGGGAACATTCATAATGTCAGATAGAAGATGTGTGAAGGAAATTAAGAGCAGAATTGGCCAGGCAAAGACAGCATTTCAGAAGATGAAAAGTATTTTATGTAATAAATCACTTTCATTGAATCTTCGAATGTGAGCAAACAATTTAAGAAGAGTTTGGAGGCAACTGAGAAATGGTTCTTGAGAAAAATGTTGAGAATACATTGGACTGCCAGAATAACTCACAGTGATTGCCTAGATATGGCTGATGAAAGCAGAAGTATAAAAGTAGAACATTATATACAACACTTAGAAGGATACAAACAAATTTCTTTGGCCATGTAATGAGAAAAGGAGCACTGGAAAATATTGTGACATCTGGAAAGGTCACTGGTAGAAGAGGCAGAGGCAGACCAAGAGAAATGATGGTGGATGGCTTAAGACAGTGGCATGGACGAATCTTATCAGTGGAATTATTCCAGATCACAAAGGACCGTGATCTATTTAAATGCATAGACGCATATACCAGCTGGCAGGCACTTAATGATGATGAACCCCCGTGTGGGTTCCTGGGCCCTATTGTAGGGGAAAACAAGAATAGACCCACTGTCTCCCCAAAAGCATGTCTTAAGAGTCGACTAATTGGGGAGCTTCCTTTGAAGTCAGAGTGCATCTGCCGGAGATGCAAGGAACCAACGGTCTGTATTCAAGAGAATGAGATCTGTAAAACTGATACACACGCAACACTCAGGTTCTGGAGCAGGACTGCAGTTCAGTAGTGGACGAGCAACCAGAACTTTCCGCCAGAGTGTACAGCTGGTGAACGTGAAGAAGAAGAAGAAGAATGATGATGATGTTTACCTTGAAATTATGACAATCTTAATAGAAACTGTTCTATGATTAATTATACAATCTTACTAACACTGCCTCATTAACATGGTGGATATAATGTTACCTTAGTGTGCAATCATTGATTGTTGATAGCTAATCAGTCCATTCTCAAGTTGACAGTACTTTACTGTGGGCGGTTAACATGTTCTGTGTCCTCGTGTTCACTTTGAGCTGTGCAACTTTGTGCCTTTTGGCTATCATCGGCAAACCCAGGTCATATTGCATAGTGCAACTTCTTCTTCTTGCGTTCGCTTTTTGATTTACACCAGTTCTTCTGATAAACTTGACAGTTTTTAGGAGTTCCTTTTTAGTTCCATACAACTCTGAGTACAGTGTTGACATATTGGGCCAGTATTTCCTTCTGTGTCGGCTCTGTGGAAAAATCACACAACAGACAGGGATTGTTGGGGTTGGTTCTGCAACGTCCTGTAAAGGATACGCAACAACCTATTCCCTACTGTAATCGGCTGTACAAGGGGCATTCTTGCAGGACATGTTCTGTAGTCTGCACACACAGCCCACAAGGGCACAATATTGAACTACTTAGACGAAGCCTGTGCATATGCTTGTTAAGTTTGTTATGTCCTGTCCTGAGGTGTAGAATAATGACCTGCCCTTAGCAGCCATGTCAGTTGTCGTCATCTTTGGCTCAGTTCACTTCTGATAGACTGGATGGCCATTTTCTTCTCATAGTATGTCACTGCATTCTCTTCCTGTTCACATTCTGCCCCTTTCTGTGTATCTTAAAGTGTTGTTTGTGCAGCTCAGTATGAGTCTCATTGCCTTATCTTTTACCACAGCAATTCTCAATTTCATTTTTACAGTTAAAATGTTAATGGTTAAAGTCGAATTGATGGACTTCATTGCCTCAGGTTTTACCCCACGTGGCCCTGTTTCTCTTCACAAACCACAGACTCCATAGCTCTGGTAATGATCCCCTGGGTCTTGGTAAAAATTGCACTCTTTAACGCAATGACACAGCAGTTGGGATGTACATCATTATCCTACTTACCTGGTTTCACAACTCGAATCAAATCTCTGAAAGCTTCCCGAGGAATGTGATTTTCTTGCATTGCTCCAGATGAGACTATGAAGTCATAAGTTCCTGTAGAGTCAACATGAAATTTGTGATCTGACAAGATTAGAGTTTTGCATCTGTTTCAATTATATTTGAATGCAGTGAATGGTAGATAAAGATATGTACAACTAAAGGTTACCCACACAGGACTGCAGGGGACACCCAGCTGGTGTAACTGCTAGGGTTGGCCTGATTACAACTTCTCTGGGGAATGAGCCGGGTATCTAGGATCTGCCTTGTTGGTTTGCCATCCAAACTAAGATGTTTACATCTTAGAATTATTTAGTCTTCGTTGTGGGGAAGAAGACAAGAAGAGACCCATTGCCTGCCCAAGAGCATGTCGTAAGAGTTGACTAACTGGAAACCTCTGTCAAATTCAGAGTGCATCTGCCTGAGAGGCGAGAACCATGTCTCTTCTTCTGCCTTTCTATCCCCCAATGGAGCATAGGCCCTCAACCAGCTCAGGCCAAGTCGTTCTATCCTTCGCCATTGCATGGAGCTCTCCCCATGTCCCACCAATCTCTCTAACTTCATTCTCCAGCTCTCTTCTCCATGTGTTTTTTGGCCTTCCTTTATTCCTATGCTAATGTGGGTTCCAAGGCAAAGACATTCTAGTTATGCTGTTCTCCTGTTTTCTCAGTGTGTGCCCTATCCAACGCCAGCGTCTTTTCCTCACCTCTTGGTCCACTGGAGCCTGTTTAGTTCTCTCCCAAAGTTCTACATTAGTTATTCTATCATACCATTTAATTCCCTCTATTCTGCGCAGGCATCAGTTAATGAATGTCTGTAATTTTTTAGTAATTGTCTTAGTTGTTCTCCTTGTTTCCGCCCCATACAATAGTACTGATTTGACATTCTTATCCATGGTTGGTTAGTTTTTGTGGCTGTGGTTTTTACAGGAGAAGGTAGCCAACCTCAAGCCCAACCCCACCCTTAGTCGCCTCTTACGACATGCCTGGTAGGGTGCAGTGTCACTATTCTTTGCTTCTCGTGAGGGCCCCGGTGACACGGGCGGAAACAAGTCTGCTGCATGCAAATGAGTCAGACCTGTGAAACGGATGTGCACGCAACACTCAGTTTCTGGAACGGAACTAATGTCCAAAAGTGGAAAACAACCAGAACTTTCCACCAGAGTTTACAGCTGGTGGACAGGAAGAAGATCAGGTATGTGCTGTGAACCTTCAGGTAGCATCCCTGCTAAACTGATTGATCAATCAATTTTCTTAAAAGAAATTGATGCACAATGAAAATTGATTGCTAACATCAGAAAGAGACACTCTACGATCATTCTTCGATCATGGCATGAGATGGAGAAAACTTGAGTACCTCATGATGGTGAGGAAAATCTGAGGGGAAAAGAGGCAGAGGTAGAAGATGCTGGACAGTTTGACACCATAGCATGGAAGATCATCAGTGCCAGAACTAACTAACTGAAAGTACATGAGAAAGAAGGATGGGGATAGACACGACTACTAATGTCACACGGAATGGACTTTAAGGAGGAGAAATGAAAGTAACTAAGCTGGTTGGATAACTTGATCATATGATGGAATATTCTTATTCTCTTTTTGCCATTCATAGTGGAGCTCAGGCCCTCTATCATCTCAAACCAAAAATTTTTGGCAGTCTCTTGCAGCCTCCACCATTCATATCTATGTCTAATTCTAGGATTTCTCTCTCTCTCTCTCTCTCTCTCTCCTCTCTCTCTCTCTCTCTCTCTCTCTCTCTCTCTCTCTCTCTCTCTCTCACTCTTATAGTACCCGTTAGTGACTGTATAACACCATTTTAGTGCCTCTATTCTGCAGGTGCAGCAGTAAGAAAACCTGCCTTTCAACTCCCATTGAGGGCAATGAGCAGCTGACTAACTGGCTGCTGTTGCCCCTCTGGTCGTTGAGCTACTTTGTGATAAAGTGGAGTAGTAAAGGCTCTTTGGGCTCAGATGGATGGTGCAGCTGAACAGAGAGAGTATCAATATTGTGAAAGATTGATTCAATGTGGAGTAAGCAGAGCATCTGGATGGTTTTGACTTAGCACGGGAAAAGACAGACATACTTTTTAACTAGGCTGCAGCTAGCAACATTTGTATGGGAACTCATCTTTGGCTACTGAGGTAGTGAACATAACACGGATATTCACCTAGTGCAATGAATTCTGTTGTGGATTCGTTTTTTTATTTATTCATACAAGATGCATGTTAGGCAACAGTTAGTCTATTCAGTGAGCCATCAAAAAGTATCATCATCAATATTTGATTTCAAAATTAAATTTTTTTAGCCTGCCTTTAGAAACGTGTCAGAAATAACTTCTCTAGTTTACGTTTACCTATAAACAAATTACTTACTGTCCTCAAATGGGAGATTTTCATTTCCAATGAACTGGCAAACAATTTTCCCATAAATATTCCTTTCCTTTGCAACATTCAGCATACCCTCAGCTGCGTCCACGGCATCAATGTTCTTGTAGCCAAGCTTGACCAACTGCAATTATCATAAGATGGGCAGGTTGCATGCAATTATCATAAGATAGGCAGGTTGCATGCAATTATCATAAGATAGGCAGGTTGCATGCAATTATCATAAGATAGGCAGGTTGCATGCAATTATCAAAAGATAGGCAGGTTGCATGCAATTATCATAAAATAGGCAGGCTGCATGCAATTATCATAAAATAGACAGGTTGCATAAAATACTAACAATAGTGCTTGCTTATTGAAAAAAAAAGGCTGGAGCAGTACTTAGGACAAAATGTTTCAGAAAGGTGCAAGTACTTAGCACAAAGTGTTTAATACAGTAGTGCTGATAAAAATGATGCACACCTTTGCCAGAGGGGGACGGGGGGAAGGGGAGCAACACACAGTGTGTGAAAACACACACTTACTCATACACATGCACACACACATACCACACACCTATGTGTGTGTGGAAGAACATGCATAAGAGAAATGGGACAGTTCAGCAGGAGCTTTTGTAAACAAAAACACCAACAAAAATAAGGGGCAGACTTCAAGTCACCACACGGGAAAGGGGTGAGGGAGTGGATTTTCACATAAATAGCTTTAAAATAATTGAAAAGGAAAAGTTTATAAATAGTTTAAAAAAATGGATGTGCACACAAACTTCAAGTTATAGGCAAAGATCAAAATCCAGATGTAGGCAAACAACAAGAACTTCTGGGCCGAGTTTAAAGCCGGTGAACGCTAAAAAGAATATGATTTCAATAGCAATTACTGCCATGAGACCATTTTCACCTTTACCTGCAAACTAAGCTCTATATTTTGCTGGATATTGCAAGCTAGGGACATTCATGACTTCCCCTGCCAACCAAAAGGCACTTGATGATGATATCTTACTTTAATAGATACTGTCATGTATGAGGTCAGGGGCAGGGCTGCCAATAGGGTTTTTTGAAAAACTAAGCCAAGCTGACCAAAAGACCCAAGCAATACATAAGCAAAGAACAGAGAAAGAAAAATACCCAGATTGTTAAAGAGTAAAAATTTTAAAGTTACGAAACCTTTACCCACTTTTATATAAAGATATATTTTTTGAACCCCAGATTTCTGGGGGTAAAAACCCATCATTGGCAGCCTGGTCAGGGGCATTTTGTACTGAATGTTTCATCAAAACTTTATTAATGCCATGGATGGCAGGTAATCAAGCAAATACAACTAACACAAATAAGCAGAATAAAAGACGTGCAAAGCTGACAATATACCTCCACACCAACAAGTCCTGTGCCAGCGCCAATGTCCAAGATTTTGACATCAAAGTTTCCTTTGGCAAGATCTGCCACAGTTTCAGCTGCTCTTCGAGGGCCTGAGTACTCATAGGCTACCATGTACTGGAAGTAACATATTCAACACAATTTGAGTACTCATAGGCTACCATGTACTGGAAGTAACATATTCAACACAATTTGAGTACTCATAGGCTACCATGTACTGGAAGTAACATATTCAACACAATTTGAGTACTCATCTGCTACCATGTACTGGAAGTAACATATTCAACACAATTTGAGTACTCATATGCTACCATGTACTGGAAGTAACATATTCAACACAATTTGAGTACTCATCTGCTACCATGTCCTGGAAGTAACATATTCAACACAATTTGAGTACTCATATGCTACCATGTACTGGAAGTAACATATTCAACACAATTTGAGTACTCATCTGCTACCATGTACTGAAAGTAAAATATTCAACACAATTTGAGTACTCATAGGCTACCATGTACTGAAAGTAAAATATTCAACACAATTTGAGTACTCATAGGCTACCATGTACTGAAAGTAAAATATTCAACACAATTTGAGTACTCATCTGCTACCATGTACTGAAAGTAAAATATTCAACACAATTTAAGTACTCATAGGCTACCATGTACTGAAAGTAAAATATTGAACACAATTTGAGTACTCATAGGCTACCATGTACTGAAAGTAAAATATTCAACACAATTTGAGTACTCATAGGCTACCATGTACTGAAAGTAAAATATCCAACACAATTTGAGTACTCATAGGCTACCATGTACTGAAAGTAAAATATTGAACACAATTTGAGTACTCATAGGCTACCATGTACTGAAAGTAAAATATCCAACACAATTTGAGTACTCATAGGCTACCATGTACTGGAAGTAAAATATCCAACACAATTTGAGTACTCATAGGCTACCATGTACTGAAAGTAAAATATCCAACACAATTTGAGTACTCATAGGCTACCATGTACTGGAAGTAAAATATCCAACACAATTTGAGTACTCATAGGCTACCATGTACTGAAAGTAAAATATCCAACACAATTTGAGTACTCATAGGCTACCATGTACTGGAAGTAAAATATCCAACACAATTTGAGTACTCATAGGCTACCATGTACTGGAAGTAAAATATCCAACACAATTTGAGTACTCATAGGCTACCATGTACTGAAAGTAAAATATTCAACACAATTTGAGTACTCATAGGCTACCATGTACTGAAAGTAAAATATCCAACACAATTTGAGTACTCATAGGCTACCATGTACTGAAAGTAAAATATCCAACACAATTTGAGTACTCATAGGCTACCATGTACTGAAAGTAAAATATCCAACACAATTTGAGTACTCATAGGCTACCATGTACTGGAAGTAAAATATCCAACACAATTTGAGTACTCATAGGCTACCATGTACTGAAAGTAAAATATCCAACACAATTTGAGTACTCATAGGCTACCATGTACTGAAAGTAAAATATCCAACACAATTTGAGTACTCATAGGCTACCATGTACTGAAAGTAAAATATCCAACACAATTTTTGTTCACATTCTAACTGCCAATTTCTACCTTTATTATACAACTTTTGCGTTTTAGGCAGCAGGCTCTTAAAGCCAGAGGATTTTTAGCTAGTGCTGTTGCCACAACTGTGCAGGTGAGGATTTTATTTTGCCTCTGACAGAAAAAAAATCCCCAGCCTTACCAAGGATTTGAACCCAGGTCTCCTGCTTGAGAGCCTAACGTTCTAACCATCTGGCCAGCTGCTCCTCTTAGCAAATTCTAAACATTAAACAACATTCAAAATTACTGAGTCATTTGTTTCATGTTTCCTCTAACACATTAACTAACATACATGTTTTTAACTTGTCAGATATTGACTTCTTCTTCCTTAGGTCCATGCTGTGTGGCGTTAGTAGTCATGTCCATTAAAAACATTCTGTCTCGTGTATTTTCAGTCAACTCTGATACACATGGTCCTTCACGCCAAAATGTCAAACTGTCCAGCATCTTTTCTCGCGCTATCCCTCTACTTCTCTTCCGCTCCAACTTTCTTACTATCACAATGTACTCCAGTTTTATCCTTCTCATCACATAACCCAAGAATGTAGATTGTCTTTTTCTTATGTGGGCAATCAGTTATCTTCGTGAGTCAGTTTCTTTCTCTGATGTAAAAACCCAGACATTCGTTAAATAAGGTGTGATGTGAACAACATCTGGACTGAGTGTTTTGATGTGCATTGAGCGTAACCTGTTGACTAACTGACTAATATGTGGGCAGCAACATTTCAAAGTTGGTTCTGTCAAGCATATGTCAACAACAGGCATGTATTGGAGTTTGGTAAATAGGCATATTATGCAACAGTTCGTACATGAGAGATTGTTTTAATCTTTAAAAAAAAGACAAATAATTTACACCTCTTTAAAAAATACGCTGTTCTTATTCTGGAAAAAGATTATGGCTGATTTACAATTATGAATGAAGTAGTACTGCATATACCCAGAGCTTTTCTTCTGCTGGTATGCATTGGTACAAGTACCAGCACTATTTCTAGGCATACCTTTTTTAAGCACTATATAATATACACATTTTGGTGAGTACCAGCACCTATTTTCCCATGTATTATCAACTTAAATATGAGTACCATCACCTCTCTCCCCCTGTGTTATCAACTTTCTTCTGAGTACTAACACCTTTCCTTTCCGCTTTTTTATAAACTTTGTTGTGAGTACCAGCACTTTTTTCCCCTGCGTTATAAATTTTATTGTGAGTACCGGCACCTTTTTTTTTTCTATGTTATAAACTTTGTTTTGAGTACCGGTACCTTTTTTTCTGTGTTATAAACTCTGTTGTGAGTACCGGCAAACTTTTTTCTGTTATAAACTTTGTTGTGAGTACCGGCACCTTTTCTACCCCTGTGTTATAAACTTTGTTGTGAGTACTGGCACCGTTTCTCCCAATGTGTTATAAACTTTATTGTGAGTACCGGCACCTTTTCTCCCCCTGTGTTATAAACTTTATTGTGAGTACTGGTACCTTTTCTCCCCATGTGTTATAAACTTTATTGTGAGTACTGGCACTGTTTTTTCCCCTGTGTTATAAACGTTATTGTGAGTACTGGCACCGTTTCTCCCCGTTTTATAAACTTTATTGTGAGAACTGGCACCTTTTCTCCCCCTGTTTTATAAACTTTATTGTGAGTACTGGCACCGTTTCTCCCCCTGTGTTATAAACTTTATTGTGAGCACTGGCACCGTTTCTTCCCCTGTGTTATAAACTTTACTGTGAGTACTGGCACTGTTTTTCCCCCTGTGTTATAAACTTTATTGTGAGTACTGGCACCGTTTCTCCCCCTGTGTTATAAACTTTATTGTGAGTACTGGCACCGTTTCTTCCCCTGTGTTAAAAACTTTATTGTCAGTACTGGCACCGTTTCTCCCCCTGTTTTATAAACTTTATTGTGAGAACTGGCACCTTTTCTCACCCTGTTTTATAAACTTTATTGTGAGTACTGGCACCATTTTTTCCCCGTGTGTTATAAACTTTATTGTGAGTACTGGCACCGTTTCTTCCCATGTGTTATAAACTTTTTTGTGAGTACTTGCACTGTTTCTTCCCCTGTGTTATAAACTTTATTGTGCGTACTGGCACCGTTTCTCCCCCTGTGTTATAAACTTTGTTGTGAGTACTGGCACCATTTCTCCCCCTGTGTTATAAACTTTATTGTAAGTACTGGCACCGTTTCTTCCCATGTGTTATAAACTTAATTGTGAGTACTGGCACCATTTCTCCCCGTGTGTTATAAACTTTATTGTGAGAACTGGCACCTTTTCTCCCCCTGTTTTATAAACTTTATTGTGAGTACTGGCACCATTTTCCCCCCTGTGTTATAAACTTTATTGTGAGTATTGGCACCGTTTCTTCCCATGTGTTATAAACGTTTTTGTGAGTACTGGCACTGTTTCTTCCCCTGTGTTATAAACTTTATTGTGAGTACTGGCACCGTTTCTCCCCCTGTGTTATAAACTTTATTGTGAGTACTGGCACCGTTTCTCCCCCTGTGTTATAAACTTTATTGTGAGTACTGGCACTGTTTCTTCCCATGTGTTATAAACGTTTTTGTGAGTACTGGCACCGTTTCTCCCCCTGTGTTATAAACTTTATTGTGAGTACTGGCACCGTTTCTTCCCATGTGTTATAAACTTTTTTGTGAGTACTGGCACTGTTTCTTTCCCCTGTGTTATAAACTTTATTGTGATGTGAGTACTGGCACCGTTTCTTGTGCTGTGTTATAAACTTTATTGTGAGTACTGGCACCGTTTCTCCCCCTGGGTTATAAACTTTATTGTGACGACTGGCACCGTTTCTCCCCATGTGTTATAAACTTTATTGTGAGTACTGGCACCGTTTCTCCCCCTGTGTTATAAACTTTATTTTGAGTACTGGCACCGTTTCTTCCCCTGTGTTATAAACTTTATTGTGACTACTGGCACCGTTTCTTGTGCTGTGTTATAAACTTTATTGTGAGTACTGGCACCATTTCTCCCCCTGTGTTATAAACTTTATTGTGAGTACTGGCACCGTTTCTTCCCCTGTGTTTAAAACTGTTTTGTGAGTACTGGCACCGTTTCTTGTGCTGTGTTATAAACTTTATTGTGAGTACTGGCACCGTCTCTTCCCATGTGTTATAAACTTTGTTGTGAGTACCGGCACCTCTAGAAAGAAAGCCCTGATTATGACTATGTATAAGAGCCTTGTGGGGAAGTGGTTGGGCTATTTGCCTTACACTCTGAAGCTCTTGGGTTGGCTCCATTCTTCATTGTTTCGTCCAGGTGTTTCAGGACACCTAGGGATCATCGCTGGAGCTACAGCCACAGATTATTGTTGGTCATGGTCTCGAGTTTCAAACGATAGTCAAAGGATCACTTTACAGAGAAGCGTCTTAAGTGACTGAGCAGACTAGTCATGGCCAGTAACTCCTTTCACTGAAGATGCATAAAAACTATAGCATTACGGGAAAGAATGGCGAAACAAAACAAACTGCAATTTTTGTGCCTTTCTGCCAACACATTCGACTTTAGCAAGTCTTAAATAGTTGCCTTTTATGATATGCTTGCTAAGGAGTAGTGGGTTTTTTCCTCTATACACCCACATGCAGACACAGACACACACATATGCACGCACCCACCTATACACACTCACACATACACACACAAATATACACACGTACATACATATATATACACATACACACACATACACGCAGGCACGCGTACAAACACACGCATGTGGGGGCAGAACCTGCACAGGGAATACAAACACAATAGAGTCACAATGTTTTCACAGTTCTGTAAGACTAACCTCATCATACTTGGTCCCTGTTTCACTGTACCGTTGAGCTGAGCCTTCGGCTCCAATCCCCGGCTCTATGTACTGGTTCACAACATCTATAGCTTTCTGTCTCAAATCACTGGGTTCCGACATTTTCTGTACAATATATAGATTTAGACCATTTCTGTCATTAGTTGTAGACAAATGTTTAAATTGCTCACAAGTTCACTTTATTTAAAGTGGTGATTTAAACAGAGTAACTACAATCTAGCTGATATCGGAAAAACTAAATAACTCAGAAACTGTCACTAGAAAGCTAAATGAAGGGAATGGAAATGGTACACACAAATACAATCAGATGGTTTGAATAGTCTTTATTAACTGATACAGGACAAATTGTGACTAGAACACGCAATGTGTGGACTCTCTCCCAGTCCTTAAGAAAGAAAATATTGGCTTTTGAGCTGAAATGCTATATAAAGATTCTTAGAATACCATGGGGGGGGAAAAAATAGAAGAAATACTGGCGGTTTAAGATCTAAACATCGAGGAAGACTAGCTTATAAACAGCATGTTGTCTTGGAAGCTAAAATATTTTGATCATATCAAGCGCCACAGTGGACTGGAAAAAAATAATAGCAGAAGGAATGGGACCAGGAAGGAGGGGCAGGGGCCAACCAACAAGGAGAAGAGCACATGATATAAGTGACTCTTTGAATCTGAAAGTACATGAGGTGGGAGATCTGGCGAGAGACCGAGTTTATCTGAGGCTGACTGTGACGAGAGCGATGTTCTGCAAAAGACATGCTTTATGGTGACACTCAATGTACAAGGCAACAGAGTTTTTGTTTCCACATAAATCTTTATTCCTGTTGTCTTGTCCATTGAGTTTTCTAGTCACAGACTGTGTAAAATTTAGCCATTTTGCACTTTATATGTAATTATTTTTTTAAGTACTCAAAAGCGAGAGGATTAACGTCATTGCATCAGTCTGTATCCTACAGGTCTCAGTCTCTCTTAGCCACCAGGAGTGTTGCACAGAGCAAAAAGTTCTTCAGCTTTAAAGACATCAGTATGGGATCTTTGAAATGCACCTGAACTCACAAACCAAAGAATAGAGTCCCAGATCAGTTCTACAAACTTCAGACAAGGACATATGGGTTCAGTGGATTAATACTATTATTATTATTATTTTATGTTACAGTCTACATCACTGTGCAATGGGCATGCCCATGCATGCTCAGTCCACCCATGCAGCAGCCACTCCAGGCTGTCTCTACTGACTGTTCCCATGAAAAGTTATTTTATGTATCTCTTGTCTAGACCTAAAAGAATGGCACCGCCATGTTTCGTCAAGCTTTACTCCGAGTTCATGCAATTGTGTTAAAGTCAGAGAATCGTTCATATCTGCCAGTCTAGTCTGATGATATCTGCTGTGTCCATATACCTCCCAAAATGCAGTGGTGTAACTAGTCAGCTGGTGCACTCGTTCATTACCTTCAACTTCAACGTGCCCAAGAGTGAAGGGAGGGAGTTAAGTGTCATTTCCAAATGCTGTCTACCCATACAGAGTTCTGAAGCATGTTCAAGGAGTCTGATATAAACACCGCGTGTATGACTGCCTGTTCTGCTGCCCGTGGAAGTGCTCTGGAAGCAGCTGTCATCTCTATGGTCATGCTTGACGTAGTTGCCTGGAGCCCGCCACTATCCTCTTGTATTGTCTTACCACTTCTTTGTGCTGTCTACACCCATACTGACCTTGACTCGTGTTTCTCTGATTCATCTGTATAGATGATGATGTCTTCTGGATGGGAGTGTTGATCTGTCAGTGCCCATATCTCGGTGGCTACAGTGATGGGAGTGTTGATCTGTCAGTGCCCATATCTCGGTGGCTACAGTGATGGGAGTGTTGATCTGTCAGTGCCCCTATCTCGGTGGCTACAGTGATGGAAGTGTTGATCTGTCAGTGCCCCTATCTCGGTGGCTACAGTGATGGGAGTGTTGATCTGTCAGTGCCCCTATCTCGGTGGCTACAGTGATGGGAGTGTTGATCTGTCAGTGCCCATATCTCGGTGGCTACAGTGATGGGATTCTGGTCTCGGCGATATCTTCCCAGTGTGATCAGGGGACAAAGAAATTAGTTAGGGAACAGGATACCATGTCAAAACATCCTGTAGTGGTAATGAACTTTAAGGGTGGCTCGTGAAGAGCGCTACCCAAGGAGGTGGCAGCAAAAGAATGTTTCAGGTGGCAAAATGATGATAGCTCAGGAAATGCAAACAATAAGACAAGTATGGGTTTATGATACTTAGTATAAGATTTTGAGTAAGCATCTTGGCAGACCTTTAGAGGCAGCAAGGCTGTGGTTCTGAAAAGTATTAGACGAATACCTTGGCAAGCTAAAGAAACAACCATATCATGAAAAGAATGAAATGAAAATAAAGCAAATAATTGACTAACTAGACAGAAGGATGTGAATTGCTACAAATCAATGACTCACCTGTCATAATGAATTAAATGACATTTTCAGATAGTAATCTTTAATGCCCCCCTGTGTCACAGGGGCACTCACGGGAAGCAAAGAATAGTGACACTGCGCCCTACCAGACATGTCGTAAGAGGCGACTAAGTATAGGACTGGGCTTGAGGTTGGCTACCTCATCCTGTAAAAACAATAGCCACAAAAACCAACCAACCATGGATAAGTCAAAAAGAGAAGCAAGTAAAACACAGCCAACCAAGATAAGGGAAGGCTCTTCAAGTAGAAGTATGAATAGAGGAAGGTCAAAAAATAAATGGAGAAGGAAACTGGAGAATGAAGTCAGGAAAATGGGGAGGACATGAAGAGAGCTGCGTGTGATAGCAACGGATAGAATGACTTAGCGTGAATTGGTTAAGGGCCTATGCTCCATTGGGGGTTAGAAAGGCAGAAGAAGAAGAAGAATCTTTAATGCTTTTGCATATGAGAAAACCACTTTTACAAGTATTTCTTTCCTAGCTACTATTTATTCTGCACACACAAAAAAAAAAAAAACATCCCTCAAGGATGGTTACTGTCACCCGTATAGACTGAAAGATGCCAATAGCAAGGCAAGATACAGGCATATGTCAGTGACTCTTTAGGTCACTTGGAAGGGGAATTTAGTTCAACCAATGATGTGCTCATTAGGCCTTATTATATCAGTGACTAGTTAGGTTACTTATAAGGTGGGTTGTGTTTGAGGCAACGGTAAAAACATTTCCGAATGTTTTCAGAGTTTTTCGCCGCTTCCTTAGTCTAACCCCCCCCCCCCCTTTTCCACCCCACCTAATTTGAAGACACCCAGGTTCCTACAGGCCTGACTTTCTCTCAGCTTCAGTGTGATCGTTAAATCAATCTGATTGTCTCAAAGACAACGCCATGTCCTCACTTGCTCCTTGTAGAGAAGGGGCGTGTAGGGTTGCCACTGACCGAGATTACTATCTTAGCTGATAATTTATAGGGCCAAGGTTTCATGTCAAGGCTGTAAACGTGTCAGTGAAACTTAAGTAGGCACGGGGATTGGGGGGGGGGGGGGGGGGCGGGGCAGAGAACTAATGTGTGAATGGTAAGGAAGAGATTGTGGACTTTTTTCCACTCTTGAATATAGGGTGACTGCCTTCTATTTCGTTAGATCTTTCGGTCCACAATGGTGATGCTGTAAATGTCATAGGCTGCCTTAACTTTCCATTATATTTCCTTATACTTATTGTAGGGTGAATCTACCTGCCAGCCCTAGGTTTAGATTATAAAAATATCCACTCCAATATGAGGGTTGGGACCGAATGGCAAGAGTGCTTTATATCCGTCCTCACAATATCAACAGATAAAAGTAAAGGAACCTCTTCCCACGCTTTTGGGCTTAACGGGCTAGTAGTAGACCTATATTTTGCAAGACTGATCCGCACTCGGTAGGTGAATCGGTCAACATCACGCCGGTCGCCTTTACTTTCCATGACTTTACCTAGTACTCGACCTGGGAGCCAATGTAATTTCTGAGAGCAGCCCGGCTGCGTCAGGAAAGCACGACCTACGGATTCGCAGGCGAGCGTCTAGTCGCCACACCAGGGTGACTCCCTTCAAAACATCGTCTATGCGCTGTTCTTCTTCTTCTTCGCGTTCACTAGCTGTAAATTCCGATGGAAAGCTCTCTTTTTTCGTCCACTTCTGGACTGTTGTCCTGTTTCAAAACCTCAGTGTTGCGTGTGCATCCGTTTTACAGATCCGACTCATCTGTATGCAGAATGCTGGTTCCTTGCACCTCAGGCAGATGCATTCCGACTTCGAAGGAAGCTCCCAGCTAGTCGACTTTCACAACATGCTTTTGGGTAGGCAGTGGGTCTACTCTTGTTTTTCCTATAAATGGGCCCCGGGACCCATGCGGGGATTTTATGGGCTGTAAATCTGATTCTACACTTGCTGTTTAGCTGTTTATTAGGTTGACAACAGGGTGCAGACACAAAGAAAACATTGTGGGGCGTTCAACCCCTTATACACTTTCTGGGGGGGGGGGGGGGGAGGTTGTTGTTAAAAGTCCAAGTCTTGCTTAAGCGATTAATGATGATGATGATGACGACCTCGTCATCCCCTTGTGGGATGCAATGTTTAGTTATTCTGAAGCCCCACCCTGGCTTTTGCCGGGGGCCGCAATATAGCCGGGCCATAAGTATGGCCAAACGGCTGAACGGGGTTTCTGGGAGCTCACCACGGGTGATCCTCATCCACACGGTGGCACTTTGTGTCACCGGGTGTTTATTGCTTTTGTGATGTCCTGGTGGGGTACAACTAACATACGTACATAGATGACGACGACGATGATGATGATGATGATTATGATAATGATAGGCCGAATATATAAATACCAACGTACAGAATTTGTCAACATGGTGAGGGAAAAAAAGGGGAAGGGGGAGGGGAACAACACCTTACAATATTTTTTTTACAGATTCCGTATTCCTTTACCCGTCTCTCGACGTCATCGGTTATTACTTTACAAATCATGGGTTAGTATTGAATTATGTAATGCGTAATACGGTATAAACAACGTAAAGGACCAGGGAACCTTGATAGTTCTATCGTTTAACACCAGCCCGAAATAATAAAGCATATAAACTTCATCATTATAATTAAATAC